CCAAAAAAAAAAAAATTAATTTTTTTTTTTTTGGTGTTTTGAGGTGGTGTTGTGGTGATTCTCAAAATTTAAAAAAAAAATTTATTTTTTTTTTGTTTTGAGAAACTAACAAAAAGAACGCATTTTCAACAATTTCAAAACAAACACTCAAAACACAAAACTCAAAATGAATTCAAAACTCAAAACACAAAACTGAAATACAAAGAGAACACCCCTAAGCAAACGCACGCTTGCAGTGCACATGTTATATTAGGTTAGGGTGCGGAGAATAAGCCCTTGTTTGACACACATTATAAAGAAATTTTTTTGTAAAATGTACTATGGAATAGTATTTTCTGAAAGAATGTGAGATTAAAAAAGAAAGAAAAATTTTTGATTTACATATAATATTATTTTATTGAAAAATATGTGATTGAAAAACAAAAAGTGAAAGAAAAATGTATTAAAATTTTAATGTGTGTCAAACAAAGGCTAAATGCTTGTGCTTTTTAAGGAAAGGGGACCTGACTGGTTTACAGATTGCGCATACTGAAGTCAATTGAAGAAGAATCTCATACCTTCAATAGTGGTGTTTGGCGCTTCTTAACCTGCAAGACAGAAATATAAAATTAAGAGGTCTTGCAGTTCTTATTAAATTCAAATGTAGGAAATAATAATGCACGAGTTGGTAAAAATAAAAACAGATAGTTCGCATGATAATAGTGACGGGAATATGTTACCAATCAACCGCTCTTGCTTGATTATGAGTATGATAAATGAAAGGGAAGAACACAAAACTCAGTTGTTCATATGATGAGAAGGATACCGTCCTTATTTTGGTTACTTCATGAATTGCAACAAGAATCAATCGATAATGAATTTCAGATTATATCCCTATTTGTTTACCTTGACCAAACATAAGTATTCGATTCAAAATAGACAACATGCAGAAGATATAATTTCCTCTTCTTAGAAAAAGGTTCCGGATGGTATCAATCAATATAGAATTTCAGGTTATAACCTATTGGTTTACCTCGACCAAACCAAACAAGAGAATGCAATTCAAAATAGACAATATGCTTAAGATATAATTTCCTCTCCTCATCAAAAGGTTCCAGACGGTAATGACTATAGATTTGAACAAACTAAAAATAGTCATACCGTGTATTCCCAACCATGCCGTTCAGCAAATGCTTTTGCAGCTTCTTCACTGTCAAAACTTAGTGCAGAATCACCAACGTTGGCATATGGGTCTCCAGTAGACGTCCAACCCATCAACGGATTTTCCCATCTACATGTCAGCAACAATAAATACTTACTGTATAGCCATGGTAATAAGGGTTATAAATTGCCTGTGCACTAGAATCTTGATTCAATAATGAACCATGAAAATGGAGGGAGACAAAACAGAGAAAATTTATTTTCTCTCCCCATAATTCAGCTTTCTGCAAAAGAAAAATGAGAATATAGATTGTCCATGGCAATAATGGGCGTCAGCATGTAAGCAAACGACGATCCATTTTTTGACTTGAAGGGAAGAAAATGAACACTTCTTATACTCATTATCTTCTAGGACTTCAAAACTCATAGTGATAATTTTTTATTTATTATTATTATTTTTTTAATGACCGTGGGTGTCCGGGCCAACTTAAGCGCACCTCGACTAACACCAAGCCCTATTGTGCATGCAAGAAAAGCGTATATGTTAAGCTTTAATATTAATTTGGATCAGATGTAAAAACCTAACCTTCAGAAATACAATCTTTTTAGCTTAGGGCTGCAAAAAGAGGCTACCTTTTAAAATGGAAGATCAGCTTCTATGCTATAACAGAGCTACTAAGTGACCCAGTTTAGGTTTGTATCCTTGAGTTGAACAACAAAGGTGAAAGAACCGAAAGATCAATTAATTCAACCGAGGGTGGTTTTGGATGTATACATTTACAAATTGATCAAAACACCCAGTGCCAACCAAAATTATACCACTGAAATCCAATGCACCAATACTAAGTACAGAGTATAAATGGACAGCCCATAAGAAAGACATACTTCTGTGTGGACGTGAAATTGATTTTCCACTTCCCAATCTTTCCTGATCCTTGTTGAGTAGCTGTTCGAGCAGGGGAATAAATCAAAACCTAACACGAATTTGATGATGCTTTGATAAGAATAATATTTTGAAATCTCAAATAGAATATATGGCGTCAATTTTTTTAAAATTAAAAGCATACAAGGAAATTGAAGTGATATTACATCATCAAGAGTCGTTTTATGGTGCACTAATCCACGGAACTATTTAATAGCAACAGGTAATAGACAGAACGCAGGGAAATTTAATCCTTATAAATCTGAAAGATCTAAAAATTAATAAATGGATACACCATTTCCATGAAATTCATACCTTTCGTTGAAGGTGTTCTTCGGGAATACCAGATACCAGACCGATCTCACCGGGTTTAACTTCGACCAACGAGTCTTCTGTGGAGAATGATCTCCATAATGTAGTGATGGAAGATCGATAGGCTTTGCTAGATTGGCTCGCCAGCCGTTGCAGAGAGCTCGCCATTTTTCCGATGACTAAGGGGAGATTCAGGGCAGAAAATGGATTTCTCCTGTGTTTTCTGTTGCAAAGCGAAAGTGATTTGGGGAAATCGAGCGGTGGATCAAAAAGTAAATTGATATTTGTTTGGAAGTCTATGGTGTAAATTTCTTATTTGAGGCCAATTCTTTGCGATAATACAAAAATAACCTCAAATTCGTAAACTTGCATTTTGATAAGTCCTGAACTGTTGTTGACAAAAATAACAAGTTTAGTTTTGCTGCAAGGTTTTTGGCACTAAACATCACTACCTTTCATGTCTATTATGAAAAAGGTCACTACTTTTCATTTTTTGGCATTTTTGGCCCTATTTCCACATTTCTTGACGTTGAACGTCATTTTTACCAATTTTGGATAATTTTACCCTTCATTCAAATAAAACAAAAAGAAAGGAAAGGAAAAAAATAAATAACTAATTGCAATCACAGCCCTCAATTTTTAAAAAAATTACAAATGACATCCAGTTTCTGTTCCTTCTTCTTCAAGTGTGTGAAAAACACCATTTGACTCCAAAATTTGGCAAACGAGTGCCGTAATTTCTAAAATTTAACGATTACCCAATTTTTTTGGGCTTGAATTTGAGTTTTCCCAAGTTGATTCATATGTTGGAACACATTTGACTCACGAATTGATTGAGAATTATCCTCTTTGCGTGGCCGCACATTTCGTGAGGTCAAATCCAAAAATTTTCATTTGGCTGATGAATTGAAGTAATTAAATCCATATTCAGCGTCGTTTGACCTTCAATTGCATGCTGATTGATGCAATTTGTAGATTGGAGTCGTGGAAGGATGCCTATTGAAAGGGGATCGGACCAATTTCTATGCATGTTCACTACTTCTGAACGAACAGCCATTTTAATGTCAAATTGGGGAAGACCCATATGCTCAGTAGATGCATGATAAGTAGTGTCCTGTGGTGGTGGTCAACGATCATGAGTCCCATCACCGTCATGGGAAATTGGCTTTATCAGCCGCAAGTTCGCTGACTCGAAAATTGATCGTAGATCTCAATTTTCTGGGTCATTTGCTGTAATTGGAACATGTATGGATGCGTCTTAGTGAGCTTGAGCAACTTGTGGGTTTGTATGGAACATGCGCATCCATGGATTTGTCGAATTTGCAATAATATCGTGCGTGATAGGTATTTTAAGACAAAATTTGGCTCGATTTTGCTAGGATTTGGGGCTGGAATTTGCGTGGAGATGTTAGGGTTAATGAGGAGATAGTGGTGGTGTTAAAATTTGGTGGCCTTGGTGCCGAAAATTGGATTCCATGATTGTTGGCACTTATGTTGAAAATTTTATATATATGTGACTGATTTGTCATTTTTCAAAAATTGGGGGCTGTGTTTGCAATTAGTTATTTGTTGTTTCCTTTCTTTTCTCTTTGTTTTATTTGAACGGAGGGTAAAATTGTCCAAATTGGTGAAAATGACGTTCAATGCCAAGAAATGTGGAAATATGAGCAAAAATATCAAAAAATGAAAGGTATAAATGTTTTCCACAATAGATATGAAAGATAGGGATATTTTGTGACAATTACCCTTTTATTGTAAATATAGCAATATTTATGACTGATTTTTATTTCCCTGCAATTTTAATCATTATGATTGTTATATTTCTTGTAATTTTAATTTTTTTCCTATAAATATGGAATTTTAATTCTTAATAAAATACACAAATTTAGCCATTTTTTGTCAATCATTCTCCCACATTCTATCACATTATTTTTTCTACAATACTCATTTTCAACCACACAATCTCCATTAAAATAATATTACACATATATCAAAAACTTTTAATTCTTTTTTAACCACACATTTCAACATCAATCACTATTTCATACTCTAATTTTTTGAAATTAAAGAGCCACGAACAGGGCCTTATTGGTTTTTCTCTTCTTCTTTTTTTCTCTCTAGTTTATAACAACTTATCAGGACGATTCTCTCAAAGGTAAATTAAATTAGTTAGAAAGTAATAGTTTTTATAAGCGTAATCATCTATCACGTGTACTAAAATTAATTTGATGGCATTTGAAATTTTTTAATGTACATATGCATCATAACGATGTTGCTTCTTCTTCTCTGCTTTTCGTTGGTATGCATATTAATTTTAATTCACGTTTACATGTGTAATCTATACACATATTAATTCATGCCTTTTGATTCATACATAATCAATTTTGCCACATATTATTCACGTATTAATTCGGTCTTTTAATTCTGCCACGTATTAGCTCTACATTTAATTTATGTATATGTAGAATTTACGTGCATGTTTGGTATCTTTTGAACGTTGGTAAAAAATTTAGCCAATAAAAGATGGAATATGCTACTTGTGCATTGAGGTGGGTGACCTCCTCGTGAGGGGGTGGACATCGTTATGAGTGACATGATATACGTGTAGTATAATCCATGCAAAATTTAGTCAAATTTGTTAACTTCTATATATTGATATTCTTTTTCCCAGGGCGTGTTTGGGAATTAATTTTAATATATAAATCAATATCCTGTTTACATGGTAATTAACAATCTTTAATCTGATTAAATACTTGCATATATTGTTTTATAAATTTTAAATTAATAATTTATTATGTTATTGCTCTTGAAGGAGCACAATTCTACAAATATGATATTCTGCTAGAAAACATAAACCTTGAAAATTTAATGTTTCTAAATAATAATTTGTTGGTGCTCCTGAAGTAGCAGAACATTATTAAATAATTTGTGTAGAACAAATTATGTTTTTGCTCCTAAAGAGTAAATCTTTACATAATTTTTATTTTAAATAATAACATGTCATTCTTCCTGCAGAGATATTAAAATTCTAATATTTTAAAAGAATATTAATATATTGCTCTTGAAGAAGCAATGGTAAAAATAATGTGCTCCCAAAATAGTACACGCTCCGAAGAATATATCATTTTGAATTCGTGTTTTTCGTTGAAGGAAAAACATATAACTCATGTCATGTTGACATTGATTAATTCGTCTTTTCGATTGAATATTTTATGAGTACATAATATTTAATCATATTATTTGAAATGAAATAATTGAATTGTATCTTATATTGAACCTGAAATTCAATTTGATTTTATTATTCGGTATGATCAGTTGGACCATCACTGGATCAATAATGGCACGAAATTGAAAATTAAAAATGGATATTCAGAAAATTCTCTTATCCAACGAAATCCTTTATATCATTTGTTATTTTTATCGACAATTGATAATTAAACATCACTAGCTAAAATATGGATTGAATTCTCTACATTTTTCGAAGATTAATCATGGTGATAAATGGAGCCCAATCATCCTCTACTTTGACCATCTAGATATTACTTGTATATAATAAATTTGATACATCTATTAGATGATTGCATGACATTCGCAACCTGAAATTTGCGAAATTACTTCTCAAATTATGAGCACAATTTTCTAGATTATACGATCAAGACGGTGTGTTTTGTTAATGTTAGTGATCATCAATCTCAACTTTTTAATAAGTGTTAGTTGAGATGTTGATAAATGATTTAATACTATTGTTTATTAAATGTCTTCCAATTAATTTAATTGAAAATAAAGTACTTCACATTTATATTTAGGAAATACTATTGCGCATCATGTCAATATTACAGTTCTTCTCGTCGTAGTTGGCTTATTGTCAGAACCAAATTTCTTCGTCAGATTATTTGGTAGTACAATTAATCCACCATATTGCACTAAAATAAAAAGTAAAGAATTTCAAGAATAAATGCATAGTTTGAACCCTTATCTCAAATTAGTGATATTTTATAACGCTGAAAAAATGATTGTCAATTTGATTAAACAGTTCTCTCAGTATCAGGGAGAGGAATCAAGAAATTAAAAATAATGTATAAATGAATTATTTTCTAAATCCTTGAAAAATATCATTCAAACTAGAAGTTCGAAAAATAAATTATTTAGATGCATTTACTGATCAAAAAAATAAACAATATATGACGTACCAATTTTAAATGCTCCAACACGAATTATCAGTCTTATGAAAATAATTTATTAGCGTTATATTTGATATATCTATGGCATGCCTAAAACATGATGGTGCTTAATTCTAATACAAAAATTTTCAAGCTAAAATGGAGCAATTGGCAAGTTTCAAAACCTTAGAAAAGGTTCAAGTACTTGAAGTAATGAAACTTGAGATCAACTAATAAATTATGTCACTATGGAAATAGAAATATAATCGAAAAAGAAAAAGTTGTTTATAACACATTTGTATTTAATGTACTGTATCATATAGCGAGAAATATAAATAAATGCATCGAAATATATTGATTAAAGTAATGATTGATCAAATAAAAGGGACGTAATTCTAAATTGAGTTTATTAGAGAAACCTAAAAAATTTTGGACCTGTAGTCCAAAAATCTAAATGTATATATTTATGCAAAAAGGAAATGAGAAAAATAAAGTCGTTATATGTTGTAATACAGGACCCTCAACATAGTGAATTTCATAAAGATTGTAGTGGTTGAATTCACAAGTCCATATCATATTATCTTAATGATGCATGAAATTTGAAATACCTGATAGTGAAACTTATGAATGGCAATTGGACTCGTCGACTCGGGCCGTCGGTCGCTCGACCCTGAAAAAGTTTGAATCGAGCCCACTTAAAGACTCAGGCCAAGCCACATTTCGAGAAGTTGGCTGGAGCCCAGGCCGCACCATTTAAAAAAAATAAAAAATAAAAAATAAAGACAGCCAAAAAAATTTTTGGCAGCTAAAACTGAAGCTATCGGTTAAGGCAACATTGGTAGCAGAAATGTTGCATTAACCAGAAGCTATTTTAGCTGCTAAACAGGCAGCTAATCTGTTGCCAACGGGCAACAGATTTGCTGCCGGTGAAGGTTGGCAGCTTTATGGCTGTCTTAAATTGGTAGCTGAAAGGCAAAAAAAAACTCGAGCTAAAAGCTCAGATTGAACCTTTATTTTTTGGATAAGCTTTTGCTGGACTCGGCTCGAGCAAAAAAAAAAGCTCGCCTTAAAAAGCCCAAGTCGAGCCGAGCCCGTGCAAGGAGTTTCAGTCCGAGAGCCAGCTCGATTCGTTAACACCCCTAGTCAAACTCATCTGGCATGATTATTAATTTTATCCTTTAAAGATTTAATATGCCTAAAACATAATTCTAGTATAAAATTGTGGACAAAGGAGGTGGTGGCGGTTGCGGTACAGGCGGAGGAGTTTTGCTGACGGAGAAGGAGAAGCGACAACTTAGAATTGATTTCCTTCGATTATGCTGCCGCCATCGAGGATTGAAAAGCTGTGTGCACGGTTGAGGGAAAAAGAAAGAAAAAACTGTTTATATTTGTGGGGGAAATTTATTTATTTTTTCTTATGATTTTCATTTTGATTCCACATAAGACAGCATTCAAAAAAGATTACCGTGTGCCTTTAAAAATATATGTTTATGTTAAAAAAATTATATAAAATTGTGAGTAATTCAGTAATTCTACTTAGGGTCATTTAAGCAAATGAAAAAATCGATTAAAATTGTGGTGTAATAAATAAAGTTTGTTGTGGTAATATAATTATTCTTATGTAAAGAGTAATTTAAGTGAGAGTGTTGTAAATATAGTAATATTTATGAATGTCTATTGTATTCCTTGTAATTCTAATTCTCTCCTATAAATATAAGGCTTGGACTTTTAATAAAACACACAAGTTTATTGGCTTATCTCTTTTGATCTCTTTTTTTTTCTATAGTTTATAACAAGTTTTCTTTTTCATTTGTTTTTTGTTCTGAAATGTTAAGGGCAATCTTTAGGATACGTTAATGGTCAATAGGAAAAAAGAAAAAAGAGGAACTTATAACATTTTCCTTTAAGAAAGTCATTTTTATAATTGTCTAATTTAGCTAAATAATGTTGATTTCCACCCCCCTTTATGGTTTTTGTGAGGGTGATAGATTTTGTTGACATAAAAAATTGTTGAAGACGTTTGTTTTTTAGTCAACTTAAAATAAAAATTTTGATTTCCCCCCCCCCCCCCCCTTGTGGTTTTTGTGAGGGAGATAGATTTTGTTGACATGAAAAATTGTTGAAGACGTTTATTTTTGAGTCAACTTAAAAAAGGGATTTCCTATATTTGTTTTTATCAAAGTTCCCGATGTCCCCCTCTCCCCGCCCCCCTTTCTTTTTGTGGATGTTCCACTTTCTATTTGTAGTAGGGGTCTAACTTAATTCTCTTGGAATTATGTCTTGTCAATCTAATTAGCTATAGGGCTGAGCTGGGATAATGTGCCATCGATTTTTTTTACGACTGGTTAATGAGGTCGATTCCCATCGCGTCATGATAACACATCCTTTTATCAGGAAATCATGACCTCATTTAGGATAAGCAACGATTATAGTTAATTGGTGGACATGGGTGGTGTTGGCGTCATTACCTACAAATATGTCTGGCCAATTGGATGATTTGACATAATACAAGGAATCTACAATCATAATGTCTGTTGGAATCACAACGGCTAAGAAATCGAGTTGATCTTGGAAATCCAAACTAGAAAGTTTATGAGATAGGTGTGAAGTATATTTTAAATGAGATCAGAGATCGGTGGTCAACAAATTTCATTATGGTTCCCTTTAATTTCAATTTGTAACAATTTCAACTCGCGTAAATTTTTATCTTCTTCAGTCCCTAAATTTTTATTTATTCGCACATATCATCCTATTAACAAGTTCCTTCGAAATATTCCATCATCTATGTTATAAAAAGACATTCTTACTCTAAGAAAACAAATAAAAAAGAAAAAAAGGAGGAAAAAATACCATTAAGCCCCTGATTGATTTGGATTTTAAACTAAATCAAAATCAACAATTAATTTTAACAACATATTTAATGAGATTCATAACTTTTCAATTATATATTCCAAAATTTACTAAATTTTCGATTTTAATCCCCTACCAAATAGAGGCTAAGGCCTAAGGCTATATATGAATCCAATTTTTATAAAAGTACAGATTTTATAATAATGGTTTTTTTTTTTTTTTGAGAATGTGTGGTTAAAAGTTAGAAAAAAATTTGAACTTACCTGTAAAATTATTATTTTTAAAAAAAAATATAGGATTGAAAATTTGTTTGAAGAAAAATAATTTCTTCAAACATGTGCTAAAATTAAAAAAGAGGCTTCTTTCACATCACTCACAGCCCCACTCTGAAGACAACCTCAAGCCCAAGATCAATTGCGCTTTGTGCCTTTAAGTATAAAATCCATTAACACTAATTGAAATTCTTTTATTAATAATTTTTTTTAATAAATTCACGAGTTATAAGAGATATTTAAATTTTAATAAATTTCCAAATCAATTACAATCTGAATTGATGATACATCAAATTTGAAAAATGAACGAAAGAAAGAAGAATTTCCATGAGAAACCATTATGCGCTCGTTGGCGGTCCATTTTAATATATTTTGAAATAGTGATTTTTTTTTAAAGAATGTATGATTAAAAAATTTGAAAGTTTTGAGTTTACGGATAATATTATTTTATTGAAAAATGTGTGGTAAACAGAATGAGAGGAAAAAATGCATTTTAAATAAAATGAAGGCCAAACAAGAGTTATATTCTATTGAGTAGACTTGGGCGCAATTTGATTTAGGTTGATTTCGACTCCAATTCGAAAATCAAAACCAAATTCGTCGATTTAGACGAATTTCAATCAAAACTAACTCACTTTAACTCTTGAACCGAATCGGTTAGTTGGTTTGAACTTTTAGCCCAAATTGAATTTTTTTTAAAATTGTTTGAGTTTTGGACCCACTTAGATTATAATAACTAAAATAACCAAATAATTTTATATTACAATAACTATTGACCAACAAATAAAATCAGGTTAATAGAGATGGATCAACAGAAAACATAATTATTATTATTATTTTATTTTTTGCTTTTTAATGCATTATATAGTCTAACTACCTGAGTTGAAAAAAAATGTTAAGTATATGTTGACATACTAAAAGTACAGCCCAAATCAAATAACCCAAAGAATGAAACCCAATTGAGGAGTCCAGGATAAATGTCAAAACAGAATTATTGATGAATCCAGTGGAAGCCCACAAACCAGTCTAATCTAATGTGTCTTTTGTGTTTCTCTTTGCCGAGTATTTCATATATTTGATTGTTAAAATCATAGAAAGAGGAAGATAGCAAGCTAACAATAACTAATAGGGGCGTTGTCGAATTTCAATTCGATTTTTCCAAAACGGTAGAAAAATGCATTACAATAAAATAACAGATTTTGGTAAAACTTAGGTTAATTTAATTAAGTTGGACTTGGACTGAAAATTAGAAATAGTCAAATCATATTTTTGGATTTGAGCTAAATTAACTAGTTGGCAAATTTATTTTAAAAAATAAAATAATTTGACTTATTTAAAATAAATAAATTAAAAAAATTAAAAAGATTCGATTTTTATTCGACTATTCATTTCTTGATTTAGAATCTAGAACTGAATCAAACCCGTCGATTCTCGATTGAGATACCCGTTCAAGCATATAACTTAAGAAGAATAGCTCGATTCGGTTCAGTTCGGGTCGAATCTGGTTTTGTCAGTTTAGTTCGGGAGTTTTATCCAGTCTTAATCCAACTCGTAAATCATGAAAATTGTTCATATGACCCTCAAAATTGTAAAATTGCTCATTTGACCACAAAAGAGTTCGTTTCCATTCACTTTCACTTTGAAATTTGTCCAAATCAAAAAGAGTTGGTAAATTAATTAATTTTATCATGAGGAAAAAAAAATCTCTTTAGCAATCACGTCAGCGGTGTAGTATAATTGCAACCTACTCTTCGAGAACAAGAAAAGTGGGCTTGTACCCAAACAAATGCAAAGGCACTCCAGTTGTATGTACACTGCCCTCAACTGACTCGCTTCTACCTAGGGTTTTGGTCATTTTCTGTGGTGAAAAAAATGGGCTGAAATACTAATTGGCGCCGACTAGTTCTTGATTTTCTCTCGCACATACCTTGATACCCTTTTATTGGTAAACCACTCCAATATTTCGACGTATACATATAAATTGGAACTAGAATTTAAAACTTTATTGTTTGATTCCTTCTCTTTTCAATTTTGTATTGAAATCCGACTATAATGTGCTTCTAAATGTTTTCGAATGGTTATTTATATGAATTTTGATCTTTATCATGTAATTATGTTTGGGAAAGAAGCATAGCCCACTTAAAAATGTCTAAATTACCTATTTCATCTTTAATTTTTAAAGAATTTTTTGTGTCTAAATTTTGGTCCCTTCTCAGGCAATCGATAGATATTTTTTGCGGTTTTAACAATGAGTGTGTTTTTCCCTTTGGATTTCTTCATCGTTCCCCCTTTTTTGCAAGTGTTTATGTGCGGGGTTATGCCCTATAGTGATGTTGGAACTTTATTTCATTTTCTTGATATCTGCTCAATTTGTTTAATATATCTGTAGATAGAATTGTTTCTTCACATGTTATCTCCATGATGATGTTCATTTCATGAAATTATAAAAATGACTTGTAAACTTGTAAGGTAACATGCCGTGGGATATGTTTTAGATAAGCTACGAGAGATTCTGAGCTTTTGGTCTTGTCATTTTAATCTTTGAGGTTAATGTGGAGTCATTAGACGATGAAAGAGTTTGTGATTGGTGGAGCCACCGAGTTTTTCTAGTGGCCATATAATAATGAAGATCTGATCGATCAATATTCAGTTTATAAGAATTGTTAACCTTGATGGTTTCAGAAGTCATACAAAAAAAGAGAGATACAATGTTTTATATTTGAAAAACAACTGCTTCCAGTTCTTCAGCTCCCAAAGTTGAAGTATTCTTTTCTTATTTCTTGCATAGATTTTGGGGCTTTTGGGTCTCTCGGTGTTGTGAACCAGATCTCTTTGTGTTTTCAGAAGTAACAAGTGGGAGCAATTCATTCACTGTACAAAGGTCTTCAGACTCGCGAGAATGGGTGCTCCTAAGCAGAAGTGGACATCAGGAGAAGAAGCGGCTCTTAAAGCTGGCATTGCCAAGTATGGGGTAGGCAAATGGAGTACTATACTAAAAGATCCAGAATTTAGCACAGTTTTGCGATCACGTTCAAATGTGGATCTTAAGGTATTGTATATAAGGCTTTATCATTTTGGTACGTTGATTTGAGGAAAATCAGTCTTAGTTGGAATATTCATATTTTGATTAAGCAAAAACTTGTGTATTGTGAAATGACACTGATGGTGTTATTTAGATATGCACTTTTTTGCTCCTTAACTCGATTTGTTTAATGTTATCGGACAGGATAAATGGAGAAATTTGAATTGCATGGCAAATGGTTTGGGGTCTCGGCATAGGGCAAAGGTTTCATATAAAAGCAATCAAGTGACTCCCAAGATCGATAAAGATGCCATTGTTCCTAGCTCCACAGCTGAGAATGATTCAGAAGTGCTTGATGTGATTCCTTTTTCCTCATCTAGTGAAACACCAACGGATGATGGTTCACAAACACGAATATCAAGGTTGAATTGCTTCATCTGATGTCACCCATTTATATCCTTTAACTGTGTTGGCTGAATAGAAGTAACATTAAGCCTCTTTGTCCTCTTAAAGTTAGTGCATAGAACTGTTGACACCACCAAGTTATTATGGAGGAACGTGTCAATTAACAAATAACTGATTAGTTGTGGGGATCCACTAAAAGTACTATAAATGCTGCCATGGTGCTGTTATTATGTTATATATTGGATGAATAACATGTACAAGCCATTTAATGTTTCGGCTTAGTTTTTGAGGAATATACATATACAGCTCATCTTTCTCAGAATATGCATTCTGGTGGGGGAGGCACTAGAGTTTTGTTTGTTTTGTCATTATCAAGATTTAGCAGTGGAACATGGTCAGTGTTTGTCCTGAATCACTATATCGGAGTTTGACCTATCTCGTGTTATAAAGATTTCTGAACTGGGAAAGAAATTGTATGAAACGTCTATAGTTGCTAACCTTTTAGTTTGGATGCGATGTCTCTATCAATGATGAATTCTGGCCCTATACCATTTGTTCTACGTGTTGTTGATGAGATGTTTTGGCACTCCAATGCAGGCTTGATGATCTTATATTGGAGGCAATCACTAAGCTGAAGGAACCTAGAGGATCTAGTCGACATGCAATTGCACAGTACATAGAGGTGATTTCAACTTACTATGGTACCGAGTGATGGTAAATGTAGCTTAAATTGACAATGAAGTGGTAGTCAATGATGTCATTGTATTTGCTATATTTTCCTGTCGTTTCAAAATCTTGCTTTGTATATCACTTTTTATGTTTAACATTGCATAAACATTGCCACGTATACTTAGTTTGAAAACCAATGGATGTTCATGTTCCAATTCAGAGTTATCTTCTGTAGTTTCTTTCATTTGTTGTCAGCTTAGCACACTCAAGTTCTGACTTAATTTTATTTCGTAGGAGCTACACTCATTACCTCAAGACTTCGAAAGGATGGTAGCTACAAATTTGAAGCTTTTGACAGATAATGGACTATTAATTAAGGTACTCATTGGTAATATCCTTTTCTGATCGGAATTGAAGGGACGCTAAATCATTTTTCCACCCCTTGCATAAGATTTTTAAAATGTGAACATGCTTTTATTATGTTCCTTGCTTTGTTAGCCAGCCATACATGATATTGGGTTGTCTCAGTTTGGTTTTGCCATGATCATTATCAGTTCCCTGCTACTTTATTCATTTCATTATTGAGGGACTTCTTACTTCTATCTTCTTGAGTTGAATTTCTGCTGTCATTCTCTTATCTCTATGTATGTGCTTGATTGTGCAAACTTATAAATGCATACCTTTGTAGGCTCCTCTGCTTATGTAGGGGGTAATTGTTGACAAATGAATGATGAAAAATGAAGAATTAGATGCTTTAACTCTTAACTTTGAACCCTGAAGTGAAGGTCACTTTTAAGCTTATATGTTTATATGAAATTTTGCCTTGCTTTAGTTGCTAATTATTTCCTATGTCAAACCATGGGGTGCCATTTAGGACACTACTGTTGGCATTTAACATTCAAAGAATAAATTCCTGCATTTGCTCCCTAGGGTTTCAATTGATAATGTTTTTGTCTTTTGTTATGACTTGGGTCAGTCTTATTAAGAGGAGTAGCTTAAATTCCTATAAGTTGGTCTATGTTTCGGTATCTAACTGATGTGGGATTTATCCCTTGATTAATAGCCTACCTCCTGATACTCCCTTGTTTTGTCAAGTTTGTTATCAGAAAGCTTACGTGGATTGGTTGTGTTTTGTCTGTCTGGTTAAGTTTACATTTTCACTTAAGCAAGTGAGAAGGACTTTAATTGTCTTGTTAATGGATTGACTGCTGAATCTTATCATGTTTTCCTTGTGCTTTTTGATGCTGTCCTGCAACGGTTTGTTGGGTTGAACTCGGGAAAATTAGGAACCGGCACAAAATTGGGCTTTTGGCTGCATATGGTTTTGGCAGAATTTTATATGGAAGAATATTTTTTGTTTGCGTTGACAGGTGAAGCACCTATACAGGATTGCACCTAATTCAATGTCTTCTGATGCGGGGAAAGTTGCTTCCATGTTTCTTCCAGATGGAACAAAGAATAATCCTACCAAAGTAGAGAAAAATGTTATCAGAATTCTTACTAAAGCCCAGGTTGATGCTGAGCTAGAGCAGATGAAGAACATGACTGCACAAGAGGCAGCTGCAGCTGCTGCACAAGCAGTCGCAGAGGCAGAAGCTGCAATTGCAGAAGCTGAGGTGGCGGCAAGGGAAGCAGAGGAGGCAGAAGCTGAGGCAGAGGCTGCTCAGTGTTTTGCTGAGGCAGCTACAAAGGCATTGAAATGTAATACTATCCGATGCTGGTAAAGTCCATCCCCGAGTTCCAAGAACCTGCAGATGGTACCGCTTATTGCTCCATTGCAAAACTAGTACGAGCAAGACTAGGATCTATTTTGCGTCCAGTCCAGATTGCAGATGGGCAATTGCTGGTCTTTTTGACCAGATCTTGACCCAGCTCGTATTCTATAACGTTTTTCAAGTTCTTGCTCTTTGACAAATACTCCTTTTGACTCATCTTTCCCTGTTATCTAGCACTAGCATTTCTGAGAAAATTTTTGGGGCTCTGGAGTTTGTAGGCGGCAATTTTGGGAAATTTATCTGACCAAATTCTTTGTGAATTTGCAAATTACCCTGTTTCTCTGATAATGTTATTTTACATGTATGCAGACCTGCAGATGGCCACCACCACTCATTGCATTTCTGGATCTTTTGCAGGCAAGTCTATATGGTGTAAATACGGATAGGGATGTAAATCTTGAGTTTTGTCCATAGAACAGTCTTTGAGTTTTATTGGTTTTAATGTGGAACTGAACTCACAAGGAGAGTAGCTTGACTTTCATAAAGAACCTTAAAGAGTTAAAACTGCATTATCAATGGTACTAAATATTGGTTCTCGTTTGCTGCATACTATGCTAATATATTTGGTCCAATTTAGCGTGAAGGGCAGTTATGTTCTGTTTCCTTTTCTAAACGTTCCTAGTTACTAGCCTAAAGGTTTTCTTAGTGACAGTATTGATTTTTTGTTTATAAGCTGATGAAATATGGTTTACATTTTTGAGTTCTGCCTTATACTTTCTTTCTGGAGGCGTTCGTTTGCAATAATCTTGTACTCAAGATCTACCATGCCTGTCACTCAAAAGACTGGTTTCATTGTTTAACTTCAGAATCTTGGTTTCATTGTTCGCAAGAATCATGATCCTCATAATGGGTGCATTGGACACGTGTATGTCTTAATACAAGTGTTTTAAAAGGGGTAAAGCGTGCCAAGGTGATTAGGTCAAATCTCAAGCTTTACGAGTCTAATCGTGTTTAGGTGTTAAATAAGTAGTTTTTTTTAATAATATTATTCTTAAATAAAATAATGTATATCAAACAATTAAAATTATAAATATTATAATTATTTAATGATTTCTACAACTAGAAAAGTTTTATGTATACAAAAGTTAGATAATTGAAAGTTGAAATCACAACTCTTATTTAGGTAAATGGGTACAAAATACCAATTTAGGGGACGAAGGAAAAAATTAGGTGTTTTTTTAAAGTATTGAGACATTAGAAGGTGGGAGAAATTATCTTCAAAAATTCGGGTATTTTCAAATGTTTATTTTTTGTTAACGTGCAAGTAATTTTTATAGCACGTGTTTGTAATTTTTTGTAACTTTTTGGAGTGTATTTAATTTATTTTTATTATTATAATTAATTTTTTTTTTCAAAAATTCTACATTTAGTAAGTTACAATGTTTGTAGCTTAATCTTTGTATTAGTTTGCATTTAAACTATTTTAGTGTTAGTAATTCTTTTAAAATTGTAATTTACATTATTTTATTGTTGTTACACTTCTATAATTTTTCGAAGAAGTAGTAACACATGGACTAGCACCATCCACCACTATGTCGTTAAGGGTATCTCCAATGGTCGTCCCATTGCACAATTTTGCACCATTTTTTGGTGTAAAGTTGCTTCAATGCAACACCAAACTTTGCATCGTTTTGGTGCAAAGTGGTGTAAAGTGTAAAATGTCTTTTTTTGCCCTTATTTAACATTCTCCAAATAAATTTGTTAAGGATATTTATGTTACTTGTGCTATATATTTTTCAATACAATAAATTATTATTATTATTTGTATTTAAAATAAATTTTAAATGTAAGACATAATAATTAATAATTTAATTAAAAGACGAAAATAATTTAAAATACAACAAACACAATTATTTATTAAAGTTAACACGAAATATATTAAACAACGACATACATACGATAATATAATTTGATTTCATATTTTCGTTGTTGTAGTGTTTTTATTAATTGTTCCGTGTTTTTTATATTTATTAATGAATTTAATCTTTTTCGTAATTTAACGTAATTATTTATTTAGTAATTTATGTTTTTATAAAATAATTAAATAAATAATATTTCAAATAAATAAATTATAAAGAATAAAAAAAAGGAAGAAAATGGTTAAACACTGTTCATTTGGTGTAATAATTGGAGATAAATTTTAGTTTGGTGCAAGATTTGATGTAAAATTTAGTGCAAAATTGTACAAAATTTGGTGCAGGGTTGGAGATGGTCTAAAGATGCTACCATCTTCTTAAATCATCGTATCAAAAATCATCAAAAATCACTATTTCAAAAATTACATATATGTAAGCTAAAACTACGGATTTGAAATTGAAATTGCCATAACCAAAAACATGCATCAACCATCAGCATCACCACCTTATCTCCACCATATTTAGCCCATGTTTGACATTCATTATTTGAAAATTTTCTTTTCACATAATAAAATATTTTTTTATGTAAACTCAAATTTTCCTTACTTTTAACCACGTATTCTCCTTAAAATCATTATTCAAAATTTTATTTTTCCTAAATAATGGTTGTCAAGCAATGGTTTAGCCCACAAAAACTCAAAAATTCGACAACCACCAACTCTTCCATCTCTACTCACAGCACAATAATTCTCCTCGCACAAATCCCAAATTTACAATACAAATCCTAGCATCGTTGTCGACCTACACTACCCTAACAGGATTTGCACCACATTCGCCACTAATACGACGAAACCATATATGCGCTACCATGGCCACAAGCTTGAGGCAAAAATTGAATTTTTTTTACCTTGAGTTACTACTGGTCACTCAAAAATAAAAGGTTGTTTACTCACTTTTACAAAACATTACTCATAATCCATTTCATTTCCATTCGTCCACCTGGGCAAAAAAATTCACTTGGCAAATGAAAATTCTACGTAACAATAAATAGGGGAAGAGTTAAGATTGTAGAGTTGTGGGGACAAATTGTTAGGGAAATTCACACCGATTACGTGCACATTATATTAAAAAAAGCATACCGGTTATTTGTGTGAAATCGAAACGTAATTTCGAATTACCGAAATAGGATTTGAGAAGCAAAACATAAAAGTTACCGAATCTGAATGTATGAATATGGATTCATCCCTTTTGATTCTTGAACGAAAGCAAATTATTCTTTTAATCGAACCTTGCAACATAAACATGTAAATAATGTTAATCATTTCCCGAAATCAAAGTATAATCAAAAGAAATCAGAAAACTGTAGGAAGAAAGATGCAAGTGATGAATTTTTGGTCGAGGCAAGTGTTTGACACTTGGTTCAAGTGTTTGACACTTGGTCCTTAAGATGAATTTGCTCCGCATCGGTGCTAACGATTTTTCGACAATCATTTCCCAAGATACAACGACCACGTCAAGTCATAGGAGCACTCCAAATGGTTTCGACCAACGAGCTCGAACGGAATCCCCTCTCTACCAAGGAAATGTATGTAAATGCTATGGAATTTAGAAATGAGAGAATTGCAAGAGGAGAATGAATGTTCAATGCAATTGGTGTGCCCAAAATCATGTCCATAGGATTCTATTTATAGATGTAGAAATGGTGCAAATGAAGTAGTGTGGATCAAAACATGCATCCTTTCAAAAAGTTGCAATACTTGGTCAAAACCTGCATTTTTTCGAAAAGTTGCAACACTTCATTTCTTCCAACTTTGGTCCGCAATTTCTCATTCATCCGAAATTGGTTTCGAGATTCCAAATATACCACGACGATCTAGTCGACGAGTAGAATAAGTTGGTTTATTTACTTTTGTAATTTGACCATCGAATCAAGTCCGAATATTTGGTCGAAGTTGACACATAGTCACACATTTTCATTTTTAACTTTTACAAACCTTTTCATTTTCCAATTTTTGATTAATTATTTGAACCAATTCCTACACAAATTTCTATACATGTAGAGTTTTTTGAAGATACACTTAGATGTTACCTTTCATAAAATAAAAAAAAATAAAATAAAAAAAATAAAAATTATAGAAATAATGTCAGGGATATAATTTTAAAAATGAATTCTACGAAATAAGTAACTTGAACCACATATATTCTTGTAACCCATTTCTAGTCCATACTATCAACAATTCAACTTTTTGAATTGAAATTATAAATATTTTGGTTCAAAAGACAAACGAATCTTCTATTAACTTTAATTTGTCTCTCAATAATACTAGTAATGAACATTGAAGCACGATTTTTAAGCCATTGAATCTTGGAAAAAGGAGGTATCAACAATTCAATTTTTTGAATTGAAATTATAAATATTTTGGTTCAGAAGACAAACGAATCTTCTATTAACCTTAATTTGTCTCCCAATAATACTTGTGTTGAACGTTGAAGCGCGATTTTTAAGGCATCTTTTGACAAAGGAGGTATTTAGAACCATGCTATATTGACAAAAAATGGTTGACATGCAACCTGACTGTTGCCCACAATGGAGGGGCCACCTTTTTTGGGACTTTTTTATTTAAGTGGGACCCACGACATGTGAGAAGATGTCAACCAAGATAGCAAAAAAATTCTTGCAAACTAGCTTGATTCATGTTTTTTCCACTCTTTAAACAACTTGTATTCTCCATGCCCAGGGCCCATTTGACAAGATTTTTAAAAAGATAAAAAATACTTCTAAAACAAAAAAAGGGAAATTTGCAGCATGGTCTCTAACATTTTCATTTTTTGTAGACTTTATCCTAACCCTTATTTTGTTCTAGTAAAGGTCCCTGACCATTTATAAATATGCACCTGAGGTCCATCTGAACCGAAATCGCCCAAAACACGATCAGTTGATTCAGAAAATTCTTTGAACTATCTGCTACCGTGACGGGTTTATTGGATGATGATACCTTTTTGGACGATTTTATTGGATGTTAATTCTTTAATTTTCCCGATCAACTGGCAGTGTTTTGGACGGTTTCCATCCAGATGGACCTTAAGTGAATATTTATGAAATGTTAGAAACCTCCACTGGCACAAAATGAGGGTTAGGATAAAGTTTACCAAAAATGAAAAGATTGGGGATCGTTGCTTCAATTTTCTTAAAAACAAAAATGTTTTTAAACATGATTAGAAAATTTTATGTAAGTGTTTTGTCTAATTAAATTGACCAAGGTAGCAAAGGCAGAAGTAGAAAGCCTACCAAATAGACCTTTTATTTAAGTCTAGACAGACACCACAATTTGATTCTGAGCATCTTGAACTTTGAACCAAAAAGTATTTATCCATTTTAAAGGAAGGGGGAAAAATGCTTCTGAAAGTCCATGAAATAAGTTTGCTGTAATATTGATGATGCTCACATACTAATCTAAACCACTAAACACCGATAACAAAAAAACGTTGAACGATTTCAAGAATTGGATTAACACCAAATAGAGTGGTAAACAAATACTATAACCAACCCGCTACAAAAACGTCAATTGTTATTAAAGCTTAAACAAATATAAGTTAAATTTACATACAAAACCAACTTGAATGAAGTACAAAGCCAATTAATCACAATGACTAGGGTACTCTATCGTCGACAACCATCAGGGAAATTCATCTCCACAAAACTTTCTTGAAATTATTAGAATCCAGAGACGCATCCTTAACTCTTCGATTTAGAATGCTTAACTAGCCAGTCAATAACCTGGTCAATGTTTGTTGAATTCTTGCACGAGATCATAAAGCAGCAGACCTCTCTATCAGTGATAGATTTCAAACCCCTACACAATATAATGCCATGTCTAATTACCAAATACAGAAGCCAAAGAAACAAAAACACGTCACATGCAAACACGCATACACACAAAAGAAAAAAATGCACGTTAACATATTTAGGGAGAGAGTGAGGAGTAGGAGAGAGCGACAAGTTACTGTTGTTGCCTGTCTCCGCTTACATTTGATCAGTCAAAGCCTGCTTAGATAGAGCTTGAGGTTTGTCGATCTTGTTTCCTAATACCAGCAGAGGAATACCACTGAGTGATGGTTTGCTAAGCAGATCGTGAAGTTCACTTTTGGAGATGCTGATATTGTCAGGATCAGCAGCGTCAACAACGTAACTGTATCAAATCAGATAACGAAAGACTAAGTTTCCATTTGGGAAGAATTTACAGACGGTTTAATTGATAAATAGATAGAAATGAGTAGTGGATAATTAGTTAATATTTGTGCGTTCATTGAATTGCGTGGTTTAAAATGAAGTTTGATCATTTATAAATGATCAATAAATTCCGCCAAATGGAGGGCAAGTAAATTATCATGAAATCAAATTTTTAACTTGACCATGTGTAACTAGAATAAGTGATCTGAATGCAAAATGACTGAAGGGCTTACAGACGAATCCTTAATAAGAACGAATCTTTATACTCCTGGGTGTAGTGGTTTTATGCTATTCAGTTACTTTTGTTGTACCAATAATATGCACAGCAGAGAACCTTGAATATGGAAGTCATCAAAAGTCTCATCAAAGATTTGAGTAAACGGGTGGGAGGTTATAATAGCATACGTTAGTTATGTCATTTACACTACAGCCAGAATGTCAATATAAAACACAGATCTAAGCCAAGTAATTTGGAGTTAGTTGCATACACAATAGCAGAAACTGCACGACAATATCTCTCCCACATGCTCCGGAATCTGGGTTGACCTCCAAGATCCCACAACTTTATTGTGACATTCCCTTTGGTGACCTTCCGCATATTAAATCCCACCTGAAGGATAGAAAAACATCTATAGTAAATAACCAAATATGTAATCAACAATGAGCAAGATCTAAAGTAGCAGGGAAAGAAGGAAAACTAACCGTAGGGATCATGTCTTCACTGTATCCACCAGTCTAAGAAAAATGAACAAAAATGTAAATGCACAGCGTTTGACAAACTAAAGATAAAGGTAAGCAAACAGTTATCAAAATGTTTTGAAAAGATGAATATAATATTGCGTGCTTACAGCGACAACATTTACAAGTGAAGTTTTCCCAGCATTTTGAAGACCTATCAAAGAAAGCTCCATTTCTTGCTTGAAGAAAAGGCTGTACCATATAAACAATTGTGCAAGTCCATCAATTTGATAATTTTCATTTGACAAGGATAACGATGCAGTTAACTGAGATATATTTGGTTATAAAAGCTTCTCTGAACCACAAATTCTTGAAATTTAAAGCACTCCCCTATAGACACAGACTCTGTTTCGAGAGTCACCCGGACATTTGTGACAGAAGCCTTATATAAGTAGATTCAGACGACATGTCAATAAGAATGGGAGAACTATGATGACATCCTCCCCAACTTCACCATAAGGTTAGACTGGCCCACTAGGACCAGTAGAGTTGACCGGAAGTTCCCCTTATGACGAGCAGGGCCAAAAGAGAATGAAGCATTATTTCATAGTCCTATAGCTGGTTAGCGGATGGAGCACTGAAAAATGTTAAATGATAGAAAAATAATCTGCCAACAAAGTTTATTGTATCGCTAATGGACAATAATAAATAGGCAACAGAAGATCACCAGAATTTTCATCAGCTCGACACTTGAGATAATTAATTTTGAACTGCTATTCAACTAGTCATATTTTCTGGAATTGCACATAGTAAAAAAATTAAGTGAGACAAATGACAGTAAGAGTCCTAACAACAACCACTTCCAAAATAGATAAACATATATCCCATCAATCACTTCAGAAGTTGAAGTTAAATGAACTCATGAGAGTTTCTCTCTTTTGCACCACTCAAAAATGATGCATCATGCGAAAGATTGGCATCTGAGGGTTGATGGCAATCCTGGTGCAATAAGCTAAAAGATAAATTGGTCAATATGATAAAGTCTTCAATCTCAATCCACATATTATTTTCCCCAGTCAGAGATAAAACTTAGCAAAATAAATTAACAAGTAGAAATGATGTGAAACTTGATTTTATTTCCTTATGAAGTTCAACTCGAATAAAGGTAAACCACATAAGTTTGGTTTGACTTTTTATGATTTTATCAGCCAAACAATACTTAGGTTCCTGGGAATAGTAGCATCGCTAGTGATGCAATCAAGGAAGTATATTTTGCGGAGAAATGATATATACAAATGGCTTTGGTATGTCACCACCTCTTTATAGAACCCAAACCGTATGTATGGGCAGAAATAGGTGCCCCTGCATTTTATACTCGATTATTTCCACGAAATATGGTTGCGAACTTGTCAATCAGTAAGACATATAAAAAGAGAAAAAGTCTTTTCCGATAAACCATGTCTGTAACTACTAACACATTTATAGCAACGATAAGACAATTCCGGCTGAATCTAGTTGTAATAGATCATCAAATTCCTTTTTCAGTTTGCAAGAAAAAGAGGAAAGTCTTTTCTAATCAATAAGAAAAAAATATAAATACTTCAATTAGTTATACTAAACCAGTTAACAAAGATAACAAGCTGTTAAATTCGATTACTGTAAATGCCAACAGAATAATTCTGGCTTCCCGTGCCAGCTTTATCTAACCAAACAATCCTAAGTCTTCATTTTTATCTAATTCTAAATTTAGTATTCCAGCATTGACTTTCTATAGAGTAATTCACACAAGTTCCCATACGAACATAACAATAATCCCAATAAAGTAGATAACAAAACGTAAAGACACGAAACCTCCAATCACCACGACAATTTAACAAAACAAAAACATATCGGAAAACCTCTAATCAATCACATAAACTCGGTCAAGGAGCTTAATAAATGCACAAATTCCTCAATGAGAACCAAAATTGATATTACAGAATTCACAGATGACAAATAAAAACAAACAAAAAAATACATATAATACTAACCTCCTAAGCCAATTGAGAAAAGCTTCCCATAGACCCATTTCTTAATCGCAAGGACTCCGAAACGAGATAGATCACTTCTCTATCTTCTCTCAATTGACCTTTTTCAAAAAAAAAAAAAAAAAAAAAAGCTCGTCTCTCGCTACTGTGTATTGATTGATGATTACAGATTCTCATCTAACGTAGGAGGAAAGGAACCAGAAAAGACGATATATTACCGTAGGCGACAATTTAGAATGTCGTTATTGTCCCCAAAATACGACAAAATCTACGGTAAGGCCATTGGCCATTGGCCAGATGTGGGTTAAGAATGAATGAATGCCCCAAGGTCTCCAATGTGAGGGGGGTACAGCAAGCACGATTCTTGGCCAGAAAGATTTCGGTATTTTTTAATATTTGATTATTTTCACAATGAGTGCGAAATTTGTGAAAAAAAAAGGTTGAACCCTTACCTTAAGGGCCCCCCACCGTCCCTACTTTGGAGTATCGTGAGGGAGGTAAATCGTAGGTTATGCATACAAGGGTACAAGGTGGAAGGCTACTTGTACACTTGCATTTACTCAAGAGCTAAATCCATATTTCAGAATTCGAACTCTTGACGCAGCAGCCTCAAGCAAAGCTGGATTTCTCCACCATCCCCTTTTATCACTTGGAGATGTGCCCTGGGGGCAAGTGCGAAATTTGTGGATGAGTTTTTGGACGGTGAAAGGAGAAATACTTTGGTATGGACGGTTCCATGTGATGCGACCGTCTTATAAGGGAAAGTGGCCCAACACACACCCATAAGGTGTGTAGGCCACCCGTCGATGTGGGCCTCAACATTGGACGGTCGCATCTTGTGGCGGTGTTTCCGTCCTATCGAAATATTTCTCCGGTGAAAGAAGCTAGTAGAAATTGCCCTATTGGCTCATTTTAATTGGTAGAGCTGTTATATATTTAAATAGAAAAATAGTTTTATTACATTTACATCATCGTTGATAGCTTTATTTACATTTTTTGATATGTCACATAATTTTTCAATTGATTTTAACAACATTTATTAAAATCAATGGTCTCAATTTTTATACTTCAAAAGGTATCAAACTAGTTGTACATCAGCTTATTCTTAAAAAAATGTGTCTGTACTGTCCCACATTGTGATTATCTTGTTACTAGATTAATAATTTTGGGAGTATTTTAATTTTTTTAACGTTATTTTATATGAGATTTATAAATTCTATAATTTGATTAAAATGTTATAGGTTAAAAGAAAACTTGATGTTACATACCTCTAATTGATTGGTAGTTGAGATTTTGATAGAATATATTTTAAATAATGATATTTCTCATCACTGATCAACTGTGTATATCAATGAATCAACTGTCATATAGATTGTCGATCATTAATAGCAATATCCTAAATTTTTTCAAGTGAAGAAATGTAATTTTTTATTTTTTGCTGAATTTAATGTCTCTTAGAAGTTTTCTACCTAAAGTAATTTTGGGGTATCAAGATGGCAAGTGTATGAGATTAGAAGTAGTTGAAATTTAATGAGAAGAGATCAATCGTTACACAGGATAGTTAAACAATCCCCTTTTAGAAGACATTGATGTGTACCATTTATAAAAAGGAGGGATTGGGGAGAAACTTTTGGTTATCAATTTTACCCTTATATATTTATCTATATTACCAATATACCCTCTTCTAAAAAAATATTTGATTTCCGGTCGTCAAAAAATTGTAATCTCTATTTTATCCATTTATTCCTCTCTTCCTCTCCCATTTAATAGTCACTGTGTTTTCTCATTCCTTCTGGAAATCAAATGTCTAGGGTATATAACCAGTGAAAGCTCTCTCTCTCTCTCTCTCTCTCTCTCTCTCTCTCATGTTTAAAGAATCATGTAGATTTTTGACAAGGTTTCCATGCATACAATTTACAAGGTTTCCATGCATACAACTACATTCCAGTTGTTCCATCACATTTGCTGCCCTAAGTTTGTCTCTTTTCCTTTTCTATTTCTCTCAAAATATTCGACTTTATCTCACGTCTGACTGCTTTGTTGGTTAATCTTTATTTTATGAAATGGTGTTTATGATTGTTGATTATTTGTCCCTTTTGTTATTTGATGATTTCGTGAACAGAGTAACATCGTGAATCTAAATAGCTTATGGCATCCATGGGAAAAGAAATTTTTTAATTATTTTACATTGGGTGATCTCTGGAATTATGATGAATGGAGTGCTTATGGGGTTGGAGTTCCAATTACCCTTTATGATGGCCAAAATTTAGTGCTGTATTTTGTTGCTTATCTCTCTTAACTTCACCAACAATTCTTCTATAATCTTCTAATTTAATTGGTGAAAGGTTGAAATTTAAGTTGTATTTATCTTGATTTCTTCCAATTGAATTAGTAAAGGTAATTTTTATTTCAGAATTTGACTTTTAACCTCCTAATAATAATCATTATGTTATAGAATGGGAAAAATATGATAAATTTTAATTTTCGATTAAGTGGTTTTAAAGCTAATTTTAAGTGATTTTTTTTTTTTAGTCTTCTTTTTACTATTGCGTTCTCTTAGAGTTGAGATTCCTTACTATTATTTTTATTTATTTATTTTTTTACATATTATCTTATGTTTCAATGGCTATGTGAAATCAATTTTTAACAATTGTTTTTGGTTTTGTTGAGTTGTGTAGCAATGATTATTGAAGTGCAATTCATTCATGAGAAATATGTGATTATGTAAAAAAGAAGTACAAACATTAGATGATAAACTCAAACTATTTGTTGGTTACCCTCGAAAACCTAGAAACATTTAGACTACGGTTGGTTTGACATTTTCGAGCCGTTTTCCGTTTTCGAAAATGAGGAAAACGCATTTGGTTCGTCGTTTTCGAAAATGCGTTTTCGAAAACGAGGTAAAATTTATAACTGAAAATGCAAAATGGTTTTTTATCGTTTTGAGCATTTTCAATTATAAATGTTCAAAACGCCAAAAATATCCAAAACGCGGCGTTTTCTAAGAAAACTAAAACCCGTTTTGAAACCAAAAATGGAAAATAGAAAACTAAACCAACCGCAACCATAATATATATATATATATATATATATATATAATTACATTCATTCGTTTAATTAATTAATTCATCTATCTACAAATATGTAATTAAATGAAAATTGTCAATAACATAAAAAAATAAAAAAGTAAGATGAAAAGACGTATTTGAATGCAATTCCACCAAAATTTTATTACATATTACTCTCTAATATGCTATTATTATTTAACATTTGAAATATATTGATTCGATTACTGTTTTTAATTTTCAAACCTTTTTAATAACATGGGCTAAAGGAACGGTAGGGGTTTTAAATCCATAAATTCAATTAATAATTGCAATCTTTAAATCTTTTATTAATCAAACAAATATGTAATTACAAAAAATTTCATTATCCATAATATAAATATTTGACATAATACATGCATTAGGTTATATTTTGACTTATCTTGTATCAACATTCACCCCTACACCATTAATGGCAATTATTACTTATCGAGAGATGGCAATGGGTAGGGTTCCCCCACACTCCGTCTCATCGGTGATTTTTCCATCCACTATCTGTCCCATTACCCGTTTAAGATAGGGTCTTTACCCATTTATGTAACCTTTTTTTTTTTCCTCTTAAGTTTTTGATAATTCATTTTATTGCTCAATTCATTAAAGTGAGACAATAATATAGTAGTTAAATTTTTTATTTTTAAAAGTTAAATTATTTGAATATGTTTGGTAAACTAAGATTTTTATTGTTTATTATATTTCTCAGATAATTTTAGTTGTCATATTCTATTAGAATTAATGAAATGTTGCAAAAATTTTCATTTAAAGTATAAATACGTAGATAAAAAAAATAAAAATTAACAGGGCTGGGCAGGTGTTACCCATACAATTTTTCTAATAAACGTAAAAAATAGAATAACACATTTACACTTTTTTAACTAGAATGTGTAGCCATCAAAATCATATTTATCAAGGTGTTTATTATCCACTGTCCCCCATCTTCTCACTCACTCTCGTTATTTCTTCTTCTCAAAAAATTGTGTTTCATAAAATAAATCAAGATACTAGTCAAGGGATTTGTGCGTTTCCGTTTCTTGAAATTATCAAGGGAATAAAATTTAAAACTAGCTTTTGATTTTAAATTCTTCTCAATTATTTTTTATGATGTTTGATTATTTCCTTTTGGCTTTCACAATGTTATTAGAATAGACTTGCACGTATAATCATATCAAAGAGACTAAAGGTGTCTTTACTCTTGACAAATTTAATGATGTTCAACATTCTATATTTTGTGATTTTGAATATTGCCAATGAATAAAAAATTATACATCGTTCTCGCGTTCTAATATTCACATGTACATACTTTACTTTTTAAATTTGATTTGACATATTTATATTTCAAAATATTATACATATAATTCATCCGATTTGGCGTGCAAAGCACATGTTTACTACTAGTAATAAATAAAAGGCGATTTTAATTATTACAAAAAATTGAAGATTTCGCGTACTTTATCTAGAAAAATTTGCAAACGCCAATGCCAATTTTCCATTTAAATGAGGTTTTAGTAGGCGAAATCATGCATATATGCCTCAAATTTGATAACAAAATTTGATGCCATCCTTCAAAAATGAGATTATAAAATTCGCAACTCTTACGTGTCAAAATCTTCAATTGTCAACAATCTTGAAAATAATCCTAGAATGCGAGTGTATCTACGAATGTGCAGAGCTATATGATTTGTGGGTAGTTGTGAAACTTGTAAACAAGCAGAAGCGCAAACACAGTGGTCAATTACCATTAAATCCTATAGAAAGTAGAAACTTCTCTCAAATTGAAAGAAAATACAAGTTAATTTACGCTGCACAGCCAACTAAAAAATCCTGGTGTGACCAATTGTAGATTAAAAGAAACAACAGGACAATTCATGTTGGTTTCCCACTGTAAAATCCAATACCCCAATTGCACACACTGTTTGGCTAAACCAGTCGCAGTATAAATCTGCAAGTGATACGGGATAATTGAAAATCTTACCAAGCAGAAAAATCTTTAAGTTCTCCAGTTGGCATGCCTAATTTTCTTTTCTTTATTGTTGAGCCTGCCGGCATATCACTGTCAAGAGCAGTGGTAGATGAAACCTGGCTAATCCTTGCTTGCAAATATTTTCCAACGCCATCACCCACAGCAGGAGTCTCTGTTGATCCTGTAACTGGATTGCTGTACCATGAACCAATCTTATCCTGAAATGTAATGAAATCGACATAAACTTAAGAATGAGGAAGGATAATCTAAGTTGCAGGAAGAAAAATAATAATTGCAACGCTGAGGAGTTCTAAAACTAACATTTTCTTCATCCTCAGCATCCTTCTCACCATTGGCCTTCTCCTTCTCCTTTTCCTCCTCTTCATCAAGTTCAGTATACGGATTGACATAGACATCTACACTGATAATCTTAATCTCTTCCTACCAAGCAAAAAAAGGGAAAAAAAGAGAGAGGGGGGGGGGGAGGGGGAAGATGATGTCATACCGAAGAATAAAAATTCAGAATTTTAGAAAAGAACGAATTTAAAGAATGGAGATAAAACAGCAGTGAATTGGAGTCTAAAGATGACAAAAGAGAGAGAGACAGGCAGCTACAGGTTGACTACTAAGTACTAACCAAAGGTCGGTCGTCATCATCAACAGGGACTTTCTCCATTGCTGAAAGTGTTGTCAATCCTCCAACAACCATACCAAAAACTGTGTGCTTGAAGTTTAAATGATTGGCGGATTTGTACAGTATGAAGAACTGAGAGCCGTTAGTGTGAGGACCAGAGTTTGCCATGCTAACAATGCCCCTTCCAGAATGAAGTAACTTAGAGTTTAGTTCATCTTTGAAGGACTTCCCCCATATTGACTCACCTCCTCTTCCAGTCCCAGTTGGATCCCCGCCTTGAATCATGAAGTTCCTGCTTATCAGGGACAACAGAATCCCTTGATGTCAAACTTTGATACAACAAGAATTAAATTTGCAAATGCTATGTCACAGTTAAACAGCTATTTGATATACCTTATGTTTCTATGAAAAGCAACTCCATTATAATAACCACGTTCACAAAGAGTGAGGAAGTTTTCACATGTCCTTGGGGTAATATCGCAATGTAGTTCAATGTTCAGATCACCATGGGACGTCTGCAGCCGAATATAGCCTTTCTTCTTTGGATTTTTCTCAACCTTAATGTATTCATATTCATTTTTCGTGACGGGGTCAAAAGATGTAGAAGTAAAAGATCTTGAAGCGGCACCAGTTGTGAAACGACTTTTAACCTGCATGGGTTTCAAAATGAATAATGAGTTCTAAAGAGCTTTGCAGTTAAACATGGCTACTGCCGAGGATAAGAACTTCCAAATTAGAAGGAAGAACAAGACAAAGTTGAAGGGGCTTTAATGATAACTGAGGATATACAGTGAAGAGAAAATCAATCAAAGTTAATGTAAATAATGTGAGATGGCATACTGTCCCTATCTTCTTTACTTTTCCAGGAATTGTAGTGTATGCATACTCTCCATAGCTCACGGCTAAACAGCAATTTCGTTCGACAATTGATATGAAAGAGCATCTAGCCAATCCCGTGTAATCAGAATAAAAGATAGTGATATTGTCGTTGGATATTTATTTTTCATTTTCCGTGACAAGAATAATTTAGATGAAATTTTTACCACCAAGTTCTACAATCAGATTATTCTTTATATTCATTAAGTCTTGCTTTCTTCTTCTTCTTCTATTTTTTTTTTTTTTTTTCTCATAGCACTCCTAAAAGATGAAGGACGGTTTCACAATCCTAAAACTGAAGGGTGGTACTCCATTCCCAATTGTGACTATTTTCAACTTGAGTGTCAATTAGAGCTGTGTGCGACAAAGCTTACTCTCATAGTCCACCTCTGTTTGCAACAGATGGTAGAACTAGAGTTGAACTAAACATTTTAACCTTAGCAGTTCGCTTAACACAATTCAGGTTTTAGTTTCTTGTGTCATTGGTAGAGTAACCCCAACTTTGTTTCCAAGGTATAGATAAAATAAAAATAAAAAATGATTCTCCACCATCTACTGCCTCTATAAATAGATCGGTATAGATAACTTGGAGAAGCATGGGACTGTGTCATTGAATTGATTCATTATATTTATACAACGATAATTGAGTATCAAACCTCTTCACTGATTATTCATGAAGGATTTATAATTAAGCCCCCGTTTTGCCCCCATTAAATCATATTTCATTTTTCTCTCTCCTATTTTCAACCACACAATCTTCCATAAAAATAATATTACATGTAAATCGAAAACTTTTCCTTCTTTTTCAACCACTCATTTTCGAAAAAACACTATTCCACCCATTTTCATTTCAAAAAATGGGGGCCAAACGGGGGCTAAGTGTGCAACATGTACCCATGCGTTTCAAGAGAAAAATGCGGATGTCATTGTCAAAAATGAGATACTAACCAGCTTTGCATTTACTGCTGTCCTCTCACCAGCCATGTGCATGGCTATCCGTGCAGCCGTTTTATCACTAGAATCAGACTTCGCAGAATTGGCACTTCTTCCATGAACAGCAGCAGAGGCAGCATCTACTATACTGAATGCCTGCTTGGGCTTCTCACCGCTCTTTGATTCTGTGTCCTCCTTGATACGTGATCTTGCAGCTAAAATGGCAGCAAGAGCGACAGCTCTTTCATTTTGTGCCTTGTTTCCACCTCCACCATGTAATGCAATCTCCTTTCCTCTTTCAGTGCCAAGTTCCTTAAGCATTTGCTTAATATCCCCACTAACATTTATGTTGTAAGTTGGATCAGACTCCATTTTCTTTAGTTCTGGCAAAAAGAAGAAAACAATTGATAATTGAGTGGAAATACATAATAAAGCCGTCCCACTAATGATATGAAATGTTGTCACCCACCTTCATCATCAACCTTTAAATTTTTCTTGACGTGATCAAAATCCAAGAGAACCTTGCTATCAAGTGCATTAGGGTTCTATATGGTAAGATGAGGTATGTTAGAAGACTTATTTTATTGTACTGTGCAACCAAATTGAAAATTCATAACTGCAAACCAAGAGGAAATACATTTAAGTGGCTTCTACCTGAATGGTTATAATGTCTTCCCTGGTGAATGGTTCATCAGTGAGAAGCTCCTTCCAGTTCTTAGTTTTAATGTTTAGTTCTTTGATTGCCTATGCAGCAATGAATGGAAATAGATACAGAAAATATAATGGGAAGGTAATGAAAGACTTAAAATAAGACAAGCAACATACCTCGTAACAGAACACATTTCCTGTAGTCTTCACAGCAACTATATGTGTGAACTCCGTGAAAACCTTGTTCAACACAGGGCAATGATACTCTCCTACAACATGGAGACAAGGATGTGGCACACTTAGTGACATAAATATAGCCAAAAAAATTAGTAAACAGAGACAGGATATTTGTATATAAAAAACTTAAACCAACTTGAATTATTTCGGTAAAAATCAATATACATCACAGGCATCATCAAGTTTGAGGAACTGAAATACGAATCAATTATAGATTACAGAATACCAACTTCCACTCTCACTATCTTTTGTCTCTTCTAATCTTTGAAACCATATCAGGATGTCTACCCCATCTTTCTATTTGTAGACAGTCAATTCCAGTTTGTAGCGCATCAACTCCGGTGTGAAATTTGATGTGGAACTTGGGCATTTAAAGTATAATCCTAACAACACTGTGAAATCCATTACAGATTCTTTCCAAAATAATTTTAAGCATAATGTGATGCCATTTTTCCCCATTGCAGTTAATTAATGTAACTGGCTTTGCTAGTTTTGACCACAAAAGAAACAAAATTTATGGTCGTCTTATTTATTGAAAAGATCAAATCACTTGTGAAAACAAGAAAATGACGTAAACTAAATATTAGTGGCATTGCATAAATATTGTGGAGATTTTTTTTTCTTATTTTTCTAGAAGAAAAGGCGTCTTTATTTCAACAGCACACCTTGGAGTATCCATCTTGAACGGTGTGACTATTTTAGTCCTATCTCCTTCCATATTCTGTCAGAGTTCCACGACCAGCAGGCCCACCACCCTTCTCCACAGAGTCACCCTTTTATTACTATGTCTACCCCCAAAACCCCACCCCACCCTCTCCCTCTACCCCAACAGTGACATCTAATTGACGGATTGAAACATGGCACAAATGGCTTAAGTTTCCCACCAATTAATCTCTGTTATCAAAATGTTCAAGGGTTACTGACCCATGACCCACTAGGTTTTTTTTTTTTTTTTTAAACTTCTGTTTTGCATGTTCTTAAGAGCTGGCCAATAACTTTTGAAACAGCAATTGCAGCATAGTGATGCCAACTCCCATTCATGTTGTTCAGAATAAAGCATTCATATTCGAAGACATCATTCTAGCCAACTGCACCCTGGGAAGTTGGATATGCGTATTACCCTTGTTCCCTCAAAAGGATAACATATCCAATACTTTCTCGGATATCCTCCATAATTGTTTGTCAACTTCATCGCTAGGTGAAGCAAAATTTAGATGTCTGTTTACTTTTTGGTCCCCAAAAGTAGATCTGTATCTAAGTAAAGTTGGCGTAATTAATTATATCTAGACACTCTCGGTCCCATAAATAGCATAGACAATTCAGATCATTTGCTCAATGTCGATCATCTTCCAAGACCCAAAAAAAAAAAAGTTGAGAAAAAAAATGATCTGAATCTCATACCAAAAGTAAAGATAAGACATCACTTATGAATACCGAAAACCTAATGGCAATTTTCCTCGAATTTAAATATGGCATGTGGAAGTGTTGCAGTAGTCAAATAATATTCACAGTTCAAGAAGTGGAACAATCTCGTTTTTCAACTTCCTAGATCATAAAAATGTAAAACCCTCAGACCAACATGTGAAGAGTATTCAATACTCCTTCTGACCCTAAACTCTGTCCAAACTCTATGAGCTATAAACTTGTTTGCCCTTGTCCCAAAGAACTGTTGAAATGGCAATGGACTGGTGACTCTTGTCACTAATAATCCAAGCTGTGATTCTAATTGTAAGACATATTAGAAATATTGATATCTTATTTGGTGAAGGTTCTTGATGAGAATGTAACAATAAGAAAATCCATCACATCCTGTGCCATACCTGCAGCCTATTTGAACGCATAACTTTACAGCAATTATTTATCCCAGCATTAAGCAGTGATGCTTAATATCAAATTTAATATTTTCGAACATAAACTACACAACAGAGAACTTTTAACTGCTGAGCAATGAACCTCAGCAGTAAAGTGACACTAGCTGTTAACAACAAAATCATATACCCTGCACATATTTGCACCACTCAAACTCTTACAAAAGAAGCTGCTCAAATAGATTGATATCAAAAGTATATATAATTGTAAGGCAGGTAACAAATCGGGAAGATAAGCTAATTCGAAAAGATTCATGTTATGCTTATCTTTTTTCATTTTTTCAGCGACTCAATATTTTGAAATTCAACTCTCCTTTTTCAATTTCAAGTTACAGGCTTAATTGCTAGCATGGACAGTACTCCAGTGCATTGTACATATCTAATACAGCAAGTGTAGCTCCAATCTCAAAACACAAAGGATCAGAATTCATGAATTATAAATGGAACAAGTAATAACCTTCGGAATTCTTGTGAAAGGTAAGAGCTATCAAGTCCTCCTGCTTAAGCTGAGCCCCAGTAGCTGGATGCTTCCCAAACTTTCTAATGTAAGGAATTATATTCCTAAACACCACATTTGAAAACCAATGTAATATTCAGAATCCGATCATAATTCAAATCAAAGCAAAAACAAGGAGCACATAAACACTTCACTGCACAAATACTTACATAACATCGAAAACAGTGCCATCAGCTGTGCAAACAGGGTCTTCGAATGGCGTAAAAGTTAGCCTGTAACAAAATTCAGCAATAAGCCAAATAGTTTAAAGAATTTCAAAATCACATAAATGCAGATTGGGGACGAAGAATGAAGTCCTAACGCGCAGCAATAAAAAGGGAGGCGCTTGAAGGGGGTCCCCGACTCTTTAGATTTGGCGCCGCCCCACTCGGTTGCCCACTCTGTCTTCGTTATGAACATTCGATCTTTGCTGTGCTGTTTCTTCCCCATGGCTGGCGGTGGAGTACTTCGGATTTCTGGTGCCTTTCTTCCTCTTCCGCAAACTTTATAGTTGGTAGATCGATTAGCGCTTTTTGAGAACAATTTGATTCAGCTTTTAATCTAAAAGATGACTTGCAGACCGTTAAATTGGTGCCCGCGTCATCTTCTGTCCCCGTCGCCGCCTTGCCGGTTGGTTTATATTCTGGGTTCCGTTGAGAATCCAGTATTACGTGTGGTCCGGTTCAATTTTAATTTTCGAAAAAATACATTATTAAATATTGATTTGATATCATTTCAATCAAATATTTTTTAATAAAATAATATTATATGTAAATTCAAAATTTATTATTATTTTTTAATCACACATTTCTCATTGACATATTATTCAAAAACGCATTCTTATGAAAATAACGTGGCTCAAACGAGGGCTCAAATTTATTCATGGCTACAATTATGTGTTGAAATGAGTGTTACAAAAACTTTAATCAAAAGATTCAAAACTTAAATAAAATGGTATGTGACGTTCCCAAAATATGTTACTCGAACTCGACCTTGGCCACTCTCCAAACACTCAAATGCAAGGTCGGGCATTCTAGGTTGGGGTTGTTGACTGGGGTTTAAGGTCCTTCAGCTCTAAGTTTCCCAATGACCAATGAGAGCACTAGTTCTACTTGAACTTCACTTCTTACCCTAATTGACTCATTCTTCGATTCAAACACAAGTGGGACACTTGGAATAAAATACGAACTCCCTATCCTACGAGGATAAGGACCATACGTGGTTAAGTCCTCCTAGGGCTCTACCACCAACACCTATAAATGCATATAACTCATGCTCATTTTTCAGGTACGTTTTTCATTATTCAGTTCATAGTTTCACGCACTAAATTCCCTATCTGATTTAAGTATTGGAGGGACGACGAGCACACACCTCGTTGCCTTTATTTAAGATATTTGAATATCGTTCGTGTTCATTCAAGTTCGGAGCTCAAAATACCCAGTTCGAGATCTTTCAAGTATTTATTTTTGGTAGCATCATTGGCGCCGTTTGTAGGAAGCGCTACCAAAAGCCATGGTCAATACACGTTCAGGTCTTTCTCCAACAAGCTCATTCGTCCCGGATAACCCTCCTCCTCCTGAGGAACACCATGTCCCTCAAGAAGAATCGTCAGAGATGCCAGCACCTCCTCCAATTATTGTTACCGCTGGAGCTTTTGAGGAGCTTCATCAGCAGGTTGCTGTATTAACTCAATTGTTGAGCTAGAGAAATTCGCACCCGTCACATACCCCAACCTCTGAAGATGGTTTTATGACAGATGCTCGAGCTTGAATCCCACGTGTAGCTCATGATGATGGTGGGGTTGGAACTTTGGGTGCGCCGCAAATGGTTTATGGTTCAAGGTCCGTTACAATGGATTGCATGCAACAAAATACTCGTGCAACCATAGGATTCACCCCCAATACCCCGTTTACTCCAGAAGTTCTCTTATATCCCCTCCTAGACAGGTTCAAGTATCCTCGGATAAAGAAGTACGATGGGACAACCGACCCCATCAACCACCTCAATGTGTACATAGATATCATGAACTTACAGGTTGCACCAGATGCGATAATGTGCAAGGCCTTCCTTCAGACCCTCACTAATGCGACTAGAGATTGGTTTTCCACATTAGAGCTGAACTCTGTTGCTTCCTTCTCCGATTTGGGCGATAAGTTCTCCGCTTTCTTTGAAAGTAGCAAGAGAATCAGAAAGATAGCTGCATCACTCATGCAGATACGTCAAGGACCCAACGAGACACTTCGCAGTTTCATGACCAGGTTCAATAAGGAAAGGCTTCAAATCCCCGATCTAAATATTACTGTCACAGTCTTAGCTTTGACATACACCATTAAATGTGAAGTATTTAAGATGTCCTTATCTAAGACTCCACCAAAGTTAGTAACCGAACTACTTACCCGAGCTGAGAAATATATTAACATGGAAGAAACCATGGCCCCAAGAAGAGAAGTTTCCTCAACAGGAAAGTCCGATCAGAAAAGGTGGTATGAGTCTAATATGCGGCAAGATGCACCTCGAGTCAAGCCAAGGCAATACCCCTCTTCAACGTCCTTCACCCGTTTGAACACCTCGAGGTCCAACATTCTGATGGAGATCAAGGATTCGAAGGAACTTAAGTGGCCTCCTAGATTGCGGTCTCCACCCAATACTCGTGACAAGAGCAAGTACTGTGATTTCCATAGGGATCATGGGCATACAACGGAGGATTGTTTCATCTTAAAGTGGGAGATTGAAGCTCTTATACAAGGGGATTTTTGGGTTCTTATGTTAGCAATGACAAGCGTCGAGGAATAATCAGAATAGAGACAAAGCCTCAGAGGATCAGGGAAACAAGCAACCAACTGCAGGTACTATCGACATCATTGTTGGAGGAACAGCCTCGAGGGGAGATTCTAGCAGTGGGCAAAAATAGTATGCCAGGGGGCTCAACTATCTCAAAAATAGATCTTGGTTCTACAAAGGACATCACTTTTGGAGCGGAAGACTTGGAAGGCATATCCTTCTCTCATGATGATGCTCTGGTTATATTGGCCATCATCGCTAACTTTGAAGTCTGGAGAATTCTAGTAAACAATGAAAGTGCGGCTAATGTATTGTCTCATGAAGCATTTGTTCAAATGGAGATCTCAACAGAACATCTTAAGCCAGTTAAAACACCTCTCCAAGGTTTGGAGGCGGGATTATCACCCCAGAAGGTATCATCGGGTTGCCTTTAACATTGGGGTCAAAAGGTAAGCAAGTGACGCAGATCACCACTTTTGAAGTTGTTCGTACTCTAATAGCCTATAATGCCATATTGGGAAGACCACTGCTTAATAGAATTCGAGCTATTGTCTCAACCTTCCACTTGGCTATGAAGTTTTCTACAAGTAATGGAATCGGGGTGGTTCGAGGAAGCCAAACAGTGGCACAACAGTGTTATGTGACTAGTGTCCAGAAAATTAAAGGTGACGTCGTGCAGGTTATAGAACTCGAGCTCAAGTATGAGAATCATGGGAGACTAGCTCCAGTGGAAGGATTGGAAGAGGTCGAGCTCGAGCCTGAGCCTGGCAGGAAAGTGACAATTGGACGAGAGCTAGATACAACAGTCATGGCTAAACTACTGAGTTGTCTCTCCCGCAAAATTGATGTATTCACTTGGAATGCTGAGGACATGCTTGGAATTGACCCAGGGGTAGCAGTGCACAGACTCAACATAAATCCAGAAGCAAGACCTGTGAAGCAAAGGAAGAAGCAGTTTACACTAGAAAGACGATAAGTCATAAAGGAGAAGAATGTTAAACTTGCTAACGCACAGTTCATTTGGGAAGTACAATATCCCGATTGGCTTGCTAATGTAGTTCTTGTCAAGAAAGCTAATGGGAAGTGGCGAGTCTGCATTAACTTCACGGACCTGAATAAAGCATGCCCCAAAGACAATTATCCTCTACCTCAAATTGACAATCTTGTGGACAACACGTCAGGTCATATGCTGTAGAGCTTCTTGGATGCATTTTCAGAGTATCATCAAATACTCATGGCAGAAGAAGATTAAGAGAAGACCTCATTCATGGTCGACTTAGCCATCTATTGCTACAGGGTCATGCCATTTGGACTGAAGAATGCTGAAGAAACGTATCAGAGGTTGGTGAATAAGATCTTCGCCGAATTAATTGAAAAAATGGTTGAAGCAGATGGAATGATATGTTGGTTAAGAGTAAACAAGTGAATGATCATGTCTCTGATCTTGAGGAAGTGTTTGCTACGTTACGAAGATACAACATAAAGCTGAACCCTGCAAAGTGTGCATTTGGGGTGGCATCTGAAAAGTTTTTGTCTTTCATGATCACGAACAAAGGAATAGAGGCAAACCCTAATAAAATCCAAGCTCTGATGTGTATGGAGGCCCCTAAGTGCAAAAGAGACATTCAGAAGTTGACAAGTCACATAGCAGCACTAAACATGTTTGTCTTTTGAGCAGTAGATAGGTGTTTTCCCTTTTTCAAACTACTTAGAGGAAATAAAAGCTTTGACTGGAATGAGGACTGCAACTTAACTTTTCAGGAGCTCAAGCAAACACTATCAACACCTCCAATTCTTACCAAACCAGAACCCGGTGACACGTTGCTCTTATACTTGGCGTTTCTCATAATGCAGTCAGTGGAGTCTTGGTAAAAGAGAAAGAAAGGGCTCAGCAGCTTGTCTATTATGTAAGTATGGTATTCCTTGATGCAAAAAAATGATACACACTTGCAGAGCAGCTTGCCCTTGTTTTGGTAATAGCTGCCAGGAAATTACGACAGTACTTTCAATCGCATCCAATTATTGTGCTCACCAACCAGCCTCTTAGACACATACTCCAGAAGTCGGACGTCTCAAGAAGACTGTTGAAATGGGCAATTGAACTTAGCGAATTTGACATAGAGTTCAAGACACGACCCGCAATCAAGGCTCAAACTTTGGTTGACTTTCTTAGTAGAACTCACCCCAAGGTCCCCAGAAATGCAGGCTAAAGACCCGAGCATGACCTCGAAAATATTTGAGATCTTTGTAGATGGAGCATCCAACAACTCGGGCTCAGGGACCGGTATCATCATTACAAGCTTAGCCCGGACAAGAATATGAAAATACAGTGTACACTCAGATTTGAATTTGAGGCCACCAACAACGAAGGAGAGTATGAAGTTGTTATCATAGTTCTAGAACCTGCAAAAAATCTTGAGCTGGAGCATGTCAAAGTTTTCAGTTACTCACAGCTAGTGGTCGGGCAAATTGAGGGATCTTTCGAAAGAATGGATAAAAAGATGAGTTTATACTGTCTGAAAGTATATGACCTTTGGAGGCAGTTCATAAGTTGTGAAATCCTAAAGGTAGTCAGAGCTGATAACGCTAAAGCTGATGCATTATCCAAACTCGTATTTATGGGTGTGGATGGACTTGACAGAACAGTGCACATCAAGATAGTGGCAAAACCTAGCATAGGTCAAAGGCCAAGTGTCATGAACATCGACCATGAGCCTTCCTAGATGGATCCAATAGTTGATTACATAAGTAATGGCAACCTACCATCGGACCCTCGGGTTGCTAGAATCATCCGGTATAGAGCTACTAGATATTGTCTAATCGAAGGAGTTTTGTTCCGCAAGAGTTTCATACTCTCCTATCTAAGATACCTCAAACCTTTTGAGTCTCTTCAAGCCTTGACT